GGCATGGCCACTTCTGAAGAAAGACCACAGCAAGGATTGATGCCCTGATCCGTGGCCCCATCCATGGCCCCATCTGGGTGGCACTGTCCAGTGTGGAGATGAGATCATCATTTTGATGATCCAGAGCTCTGTTTAAACAACACAAAATGAGAGTCCAGAATTCAAATCTAGTGTCTGATTGTGAGCCAACTAAATACGTCTTTGTATCTGCATATGAACAGTTACCAAAGAAGAGGAATTTGCTGGCTGATGACCTGAGCTGTCCTGGTGCATACAGTAGCCACTGGCCACATGAGGCTGCTTACGTTTAAATCAGTTAATGTGAAATAAAGTTAAAAAATAAAAAACAAACAAAAAAAAAACCCAGTCCAGGGGCATCAGCTCCATCGAAAGTGTCAATGGGCATGCTGTGGAAAGAAACACAGACAAATGTACAGTTTGAGGGCCAAATACTCGGCTGTCCTTTTTGTGCTTCCATCATCAAGCACGTGGACACACACCTGGAAAATCAGTGGTCTTCTCTCTCTGAGGTTACGCTGTTCCTTTAACTTCCTTGCTTACGTGAGCCTGGGTGATAAAACACTACCCAGAGGCTTTGGGTAGAAATATTTGAAAGAAGACACGGAGTCATCCTTTTAAAAAAAAAAAAAAACAAAATTCCCTGTGTTGAGCTCCAAACCTACACCTCGTTTGTTATTTGAATTTATTTGATGTTAACCTAAGAACAAAAGAGGCCCCTCTTAACCTTTTATCACTTTCCTGGCGCATTGATACCTTTCAGGGGATGTGGTCTCTCAATCTCTTGTAACCTCTGCTTCTGGAATACACTTCAGAAACTGCAGAGGCTGGGGCAGCGGGCAGAGAGGAAGTCAAAGCCAGGATCAAAGGAGCCCACAGCTCAGGGGCTCAGGGTGGAAGCAGAGCCATCAACTCTCCTTTTCCCGGTTCTCTGGTCAATAAACACCCCAGCTCCAGCGAGGGCGTGAGGGCTGGGTCTCAGGGCAGCGCCGCCGAGGGCCAGACCTGAACAACAAAGCCGGGAAGACGGTACTTAGCACTTAGAGAGGAAAGGCAGGTGGCTGTGATGTTTGGGGGAGTCAGCGACAGGAGCTGTGGTGGGAAATGTGGAGGATGAGCAGGATGGGGTCACCCCGAGGGGGCTCCTGCCTCCCCACTGGTGCTGCTCCAAATAATTATATATATATATATATATATATATATATATATATATATATATATATATATATATATCTTGTTGCTTTTCTACTGCCTCTTTACCGGCCATCCCTCAGGATACAGGGTGTGTCTCCGGGGACTGTCTCCTCTGTCGCCTTGGGCTTTGGGCTCCCAGTCTGTTTCAACAGGTGTTACCCATAGACCAAACGCAAATAAGGACTGAAGCCCTGAGCAAGTCAGGTGGTTGAACAGAGCTCAGGTGTGGAGGAGACCCCCTGATGGCGGCGACCCTTGCCTTTGGCTAATCCTGAATTTAGGTGAGGTGTGCTATCCTGGAACCGGTAAACTGGCTTTGGTGCAGGAAGGTTCCTTCTGGAGTCTATTAAAAATATACTTAGGGGCACCTGGGGGGCTCAGTCAGTGAAGCGTCTGCCTTCCCCCGCCCCCCCTGCTTATGTTCTCTCCTTCACTCACCCTCTCTCTCATATAAATAAATAAATTTTTAAAAGTACTTAAATTTCACGGATTATGTCTTGGGAAAATAATTTGCAATAATTATTTTTTAAGATATTGTCAAGGATCGGGCTTTTTCTGTTTTCCATTTGGGTAAACAGGTATAGAAGAATTAGCAAATATTCAGTGTATGCCGGCAGCAGGATAACTGAGTAAGGAATTTAGAACTTGGGTTTCATGGAACCTGCTTATGATTTTAGAGGTGTCTGTCACAGACAAGAGGAGCAGAAAGTACCTGTGATTTTGAGTGAATGGACACATCCGAGCTTCTTTTTTTTATTTTTTAAAGAGTTTATTTATTTATTCATGAGAGATACAGAGAGATACAGAGACACAGACAGTGGGAGAAGCAGGCTCCCTACAGGGAGCCCCATGTGGGATTCAATCTCAGGACCCTGGGATCAAGCCCTGAGCTGAAGGCAGATGCTCAACCACCAAGCCATCCAGCGCCCCCACATCAGAGCTTCTGAAGAAAGCTGTGGAAGCTTATAGTTTCCTAACCTACCTGATCAGGGTAAACCCTGGAAATGGGAAATCCATTCCTGGTGAAGCAGTATCTCTTTCCAGATATATTGCTTGCACCCTCTGCTTCAGTTTCATAATGCTAGTTTTATAAAAACATTCACATTTTAACAGTTTTCCTACTAATTTTTTTCTTTCTTAAGGATCCAACCCAAGACGCTTTGCCAGCTCAATGGGTAGAACATGCGACTCTGGATCTTGGGGTTTTGAGTTCCAGCCCCGTTGGGTGTAGACTTTACTTTAAAAAAAAGGGGGGGGGATGCCTGGGTGGCTCAGCGGTTGAGCACCTGCCTTCGCCTCAGGATGTGATCCTGGAGTCCTGGGATCGAGTCCCACATCAGGCTCCCTACATGGAACCTGCCTCTCCCTCTGCCTATGTCTCTGCCTCTCTCTCTCTCTGTGTCTCTCATGAATAAATAAATAAAATCCAAGAAAAAAAAAAAGGACCCAACTCAGAATATCACTTTGCATATAGTCATCTGCATATTATTTAAAAATCATAAGAAAGGGATCCCTGGGTGGCTCATCAGTTTAGTGCCTGCCTTTGGCCCAGGGCGTGATCTTGGAGTCCCAGGATCGAGCCCCACATCGGACTCCTCACATGGAGCCTGCTTCTTTCTGCCTGTGTCTCTGCCTCTCTCTCTCTCTCGCTCTGTGTCTCATGAATAAATAAACAAAATCTTAAAAAAAAAATAAGAAAGCAGCACCAAGGAGTGTAAAAGGAAGCCTCCCTCTCCTATTGCTCACTCCCAGTTTCTTTTTTTTTTATTTTTTTTTTAATTTATTTACGATAGTCATACAGAGAGAGAGAGAGAGGCAGAGACATAGGCAGAGGGAGAAGCAGGCTCCATGCACCGGGAGCCCGACGTGGGATTCGATCCAGGGTCTCCAGAATCACGCCCTGGGCCAAAGGCAGGCGCCAAACCGCTGAGCCACCCAGGGATCCCTCACTCCCAGTTTCAATCCTGGGTTTCCACTGTATTCCCACCAAGGTGGCTCCTTAGGTATATACAAGCACAAGCACACAATTAAAACTTCATTTAGAGCAAAAGGAAGAAAAAAGGGGAAAGGCTGAAATCTTATTGCAATATGGAGGATTATGATACCACAAGCTCCCCAGAAAAGTCAGGAAGGAAAACACTTGTTGGCTGGGTCTGTAGGAGGAGCAGGCCACAGCCTAAGTGCTGGCACCTCTTACTGCCAGTTAAAAATGCAAAAAAGGCTGCATGTGCAGGTTGCTCCATCCAGCCATCCCCTGTTCCACCCATGACCAGACTGCTGGTTCCTCTGGGAAGGTCCACCTTCAGGCCTGTGGGGCCCCACAGGGAGCAAGTGCCACAGAGGAACAGGGCTGGGATGCAGGACTAGGGGGTGTCCACAGAGCCAGAGACTTCCTGTGGCTCCTGACCAAGGCTGTTTCTGGCTTGCTGGATCCCCTCCCCTGTTAGACCTCAAGTGGCAGCAAAGCTCTGCCTTCGACAGAGGCTGGTCTTCTGGTCCTGGTAGCTTAGCCACAGCTAGGGAACTGGGGTCTGCAGGGATCTGGCTCCATCACCACTGCCTGCGACTGGGACTCTAATGAACCCAATGAGCCTGCAAGACAACCCTGGAGACTGGAGGGGACGGGGTTTTGCCCTCCTTCCTAAGGTGCAGGGGGACTGAGAGGTGAGCACAGGAGTCTTGTCTGAATTGTCAAACTATTCCTGATCCGTAAAATTGGGATGGGAATACCTGCTTCATAAGAACATACGCCTCACACAGGGATGCTTCATAAATGTTCTCAGATGGGACGCCTGGATGGCTCTCTTGGTTAGTTGTCGGCCTTGGGCTCAGGTCAGATCTCAGAGTCCTGGGATGGACCCCTGCGTGGGGCTGTCTGCTTGGTGGAGAGTCTGCTTCTCCCTCTGCCCCCTCTCCCTCCCCCTGCTCATGCTCTCTTTCTCATTCTTCTTTCAAATAAACAAAAAAACCCCACCTTTTTAAAAAAAACGGGGTTTGGGTTAATGAAAGAATGACGGAGCCTAGTAAAACAGAGGGTCTGACCTCTCACCCCTTATGCCCTCTGCCTGAAGACTGCAATGATCCCGCAAAGGAAAAGGAGGGGAGGGGGTGTGGGTGAAGATAGAGGAGCAGGCTGGGGACCGGCTGGGCTGACTGTTAGAGTCTCAGGGTTTGACACCCAGCCCCTGGCACCCCTGTCACACTCCTGGCCCCCCATCCCCACCCCCTCCCCCTGGCCCCCGGGGGGAGAATCAGGCACAGAGCTTCTGGCCGCAGCAGGCTTTCTGCTCGGATGCTAGGAAAGCCCACGCAGGACGACAACACCCCAGGCCTTCCCGGGGGGCCTCACAGCATCCCAGAATGGATAGCCAGGCAGGGACAGTGCCTGAAGGCCCCTCCTGAAGGATAGCCACCTTGCAGAGTCCTGGCGAAGTCGGGGCTGCGGTTCTGGGAGCAGGAAGCGCGGGCTCCTCCCCTGCGTGGAGCAGTTCGCAGGCAGGACCCACTAAGGGAAGCCAGGGGCATCCTGCGCAGCCGGCGCGCGCGCGGGGAGGGTCTGGCGCCGGGGCCTCCCTGACCGCCCGCGGCGTGGGACGGCAGGCGGGCTTGGCGAGCGCCGCTGGAGGCCCAGGCCAGGTCACGAGCCTGTAACCCAGGGCGCTTTCAGGCCGGCCGTGCCCAGGAGACCCTCCGGCCCCCCCAGAAGGGCCGCCCCCGCTCCAGGCTAGGTCTCGGCCTCCCTCGGGGGCCTCTTCCTCCGCACCCCCCACCCCCCATCCCGACTCGGGATGCGCCGGGGAGGCCGGCGGAGGGCGGGGGCCGGGCTGCGGGACCACCGGGTACCGGGTCTGGTACGTAGCCGGGTGTGTGTGCGCGCGGGTCGGTAAACACCTCCCGGGACGCGGACGCGGGCCAGGGTCGCTGCCCCAGCCTGGTGCGGCGCCGAGGGGCGGCCGGCCCGGGATGTGGATTGGGGCCGGCGGGCGGGGGACATCGCTGGGGGGGGGGTGATTGGGGGAGGCCGGGGCCGGCGGGGCGGGGGCATCGCTAGGGGGGGAGATTGGGGGAGGTCGGGGCCGGCGGGGTGGGGGCATCCCAGGGAGGGTGATTGGGGATGGCCGGGGCCGGCGGGGCGGGGGCATCGCTGGAGGGGGTGATTGGGGGTGGTCGGGGCCGGCGGGCCGGGGGCATCGCTGGGGGGGGGTGATTGGGGGAGGTCGGGGCCGGCGGGGCGGGGGCATCGCTGGGGGGGGTGATTGGGGGAGGCCGGGGCCGGCGGGGCGGGGGGCATCGCTGGGGGGGGTGATTGGGGGAGGCCGGGGCCGGCGGGGCGGGGGGCATCGCTGGGGGGGGTGATTGGAGGAGGCCGGGGCCGGCGGGGCGGGGGCAATCCTGGGGGGGGGTGTGATTGGGGGTGGCCGGGGCCGGCGGGGCGGGGGCATTGCCGGAGGCGGGGCAGGATGGGCGGGGGTCGCCGTCCGTGGGGGGGGCTAAGTTCACGCCTCCCCTCCCCCGCGCGCGGCGGCGGAAGCGGCAATTCCCACGGCGTCTGGCGGGGCTGGGGGCGGGCCGGCCCCTCGGGGGACACGGGCCTCCGCGCGCCCGGCCCTTTGAGCGCGCCGCCGCCCCTCCCTCGCCCGCGCCCTATAACCCGGGGTCCTGGCTCCTCCGGCTGCGCACTCGCTGGCGCAGCGATGGCCGCGGCTCGGTCCCACCAGCTCGGCTTCGGGACGGCCCCCGCCCTCCCCGCGCTCCCCGCGCCCCCCGCGCCCCCGCCCGGCCCCGCCGCCCCCGCCGCCCCGCCTCGTGTCCCGGGCCCCTTCCCCGGCTTCCTGGGTGCCCGCCCCGCGCCCCCCACGTGCCCCGCGGGCGCGCCCGCCCCGTCGGCCTCGCAGCGCCGCAAGCGCACGTCGTTCAGCGCGGAGCAGCTGCAGCTGCTGGAGCTCGTGTTCCGCCGGACCAGGTACCCCGACATCCACCTGCGCGAGCGCCTGGCGGCGCTCACCCTGCTGCCCGAGTCCAGGATCCAGGTGAGCCCCCCACCTGCCGGCCCCCGGCCGCCCAGGGGGTGAGGTCGGTACTGTGGCTGGGGCGGTCGTCGGTGTCCGGCTTCATGGGGGCCCCTGCAAGGGTCCGAAAGTCCACCCCGAGCAGGAGGGTGAGAAGGATTTTCGCACTTTTACCTTGTTGGGGAGGAGACAGGTGAGGTGCGGTTGGGGCTTCCCGGGGTGGGACACTGACTCTCCGAGTGGCCCCTGCGCCCCCGAGGCCACTTTCCTGGGCGGGGTGTCTTGGGCCTGGAATTTTGGTTCGAAGGGATGTGACTTCTCGGGGTAAAGCCTGAAGCACGTGGAGCTTCTGGTGACACTTTGAAGAATCCGGTGATTCAGATCGGAATCCTGCAGGTTGCTGTGGACAAGAGCCTGCCGTTTTGCGCGCGAGTCTGCAGCGTGTTGGCCTGTGACACACGCGCTTTTAAGTACGAGTCCTCGGTGTAACCCTGGCGGGAGCGGGCTTGCTTCCCGCGTCCCCAGTGGAATGCTTGTGGGCTCCCGCAGTTGGCACAGAGGCTGCTTACGAGGACACCCTCAATATTGGCGGGGAGACGGTGAGCAGAAACATCCACAGATGGCAAGTCCGCAGAGCAAAAACGCCTTGATTGACCAGACAAGGGGCTATACTTCCAGAAATTGAATTTCTAAATTGCTTTAACACCTGTCAGTCATCTTCAAGCATAGAAGCATTTCATTCTCAAATTCTAAGTGCTTCTCTTTTGCCCCCCCCCGCCGCCCCCCGCTTTTCATTGCAGACATTGCAGGTAGAACTGTGTGGTTTTTCCCATTTTGCGCCTGGGAATGGGGAAGCAGGGCGAGCCTGGGGGCCTGAACCCCTGCCTGTAGGCTGGGTGACGTGGGGCCGTGCTTTCTGAAAACGCTGAGGCTCTGGTGCAGGGAGCCAGGGCCCGTTGGACTGGAACTCAGGAGCCTGGAGCTGGCGGAAGGACTCCAGCCCCTAGCAGCTTCTTTCTCCCTCTTCCAGGTGTGGTTCCAGAACAGGCGCGCCAAGTCCAGGCGGCAGAGCGGGAAATCCTTCCAGCCCCCTTCGGGGCCTGAGCTTTTCCTCCACCAAGCTCAGGAAGCGGAAGCGAAGCGTCTGAAGCCGCAGCTGCCTCTTGAAGTGGACGTGAACTGCCTGCCTGACGCCAACAGGGTTGGAGAGGGCGTTTCCCACCCCAGCAGCCAAGGTCAGAGCTTCGGAACCTATTCTCCCCTCTCCGATGACGCTGTCTCAAAGCTGGACTCATGGGAGGATCACATCTTTTCTACCTTTGGTCACTCTTGAGTCAGGGCGAGGTCAGGATAAGCTCTGAGGGGCTGTCACTGAGTTGGGCGACACATGTCAGAATGCTGTCCCTTCTGGCTCCCATGCCGGGGACACGCGCGTCCTGGCCTCGGTGGGGGTTTTCACCAGCGTCTCTTGCCTGGGAAGCTCCCTCTCCTCAGCCTGTGAGCCTGGACCCGGTTCTCCTTCCTCCGAAGCCCCCTCCCTGCCAGGCCCTCAGTCTTTGGACCCGCGCATCTCCAGATCCGCGCCTCTGCTCCTTCAACCGTCTTGCCCTCACCTTCCGTCCTGCCCTCACTTTCCAACGGGCTTTGTCGGAACCCCTTGCACCCTTTACAGGAACACTGCAGCCAGGCTTCCTTTCCCCCTGGCCTTGAACTGACTTGAACCCTGTCCACGCCCTGTCCCCGAGACTTACTGCTCTTCTAGGTGGCCAGTCATCTTTAGGCTCGAGCACGGCTCCAGTGATTCTGCATGCAGATCATTGCAAGAGCCCCCTTGGCATCCCCCGGCTTTTCACACATCTTCTCTTTAGAAATCTGTAGTAGCCTCCAGTAGCCACCAGATGGAAAAAAACCTTCTGACCCTTGCAGACAACCACCTGACACCTCCAGCCATCAGGACAGCTGTGCAGAATTCAAGGTCACTCGTGCACGGCTGTGCCTGTCTCCGGCCCCTCCTGATTGTCAGGGACCTAACGAGTACCTGGTTCCTTCAGTCACTCAAAGGACCCCCCACCCCACATCTGAACTGTCTTCTAATCCTGATCTTACTTACCTCTTACTCCAGCCGCACCAGCACTGCCTGTAGCACTTGCCATTGTACCAGGTGCAACTTGGGTGGGTTATTAAATGCTTTTCACAAATGCTTCACTGTCATTCTGTTGAAATTAGTTCTATCCTTTGGATTGCACGTTGTGCGGTGTGTCACCCCACAAATTGCTTGGCACACATTGCGTGGCCCTGAAAACTGTGGAAGAACAGAGTCTCTGCAGATGTAGTGGATCGCTGGAGTTCCTTGGGTCATCAGGCTGCTGTGCTGAGGGCTCATTAAGAGGTCACATGAGTGTCGGTTTCAGATTTCTCTCACTTTATGTATTTTCAGAATGTGCAGACCTAAGGAGGGCACTTGATGGGATGGACAATGGGTGTTATACTATATGTTGGCAAATTGAATTTAAATAAAATATTTTTAAAAAGGATGAATTGGCATCTGAGAACAACAACAAAAGAACGTATGCAAATTAGTGTCTAAGTTAGCCTGAGATAACTTAAAATCTTGTCTTGATGTTTTGAGGGTTTTTCAAACTTCTGGGGGTCTGGGGAGACCATTTGTCTATAGGGTGGCCGGGGGTGTATGGGTCACTCAGGGGGAGGCTTGAAGGAGCGGTGGGTGGAGCCAGGACTCCTGTCTGGGTGTTGCTAGAACAGTCTGAGTTCCTAAGAGTGTCTGGGAGATTAATACAGGCCAGTTGCCCTGATAAGTGTTATTCAGATGACTTGCCCTTTTCAGAGAAGTAGCCAGGAGACAGTTCAGGCTTCAGTGGCAGATCTGACCTCTGCACCCTTGGAAAGGCTCTGAAACTAGACAGGAGATGGTAAACATTAGTTGTGATTATTTACATGCTCACGGTTTGCCGTGTGGAGCTCAGAACTCAGCGACGTGGAGCTCAGAGCCTCGGGTCTGTGGGTGAGGCCTGGCAGGAGGTTGTCACAGGGCTGCCTTCTGCTTTTTTTTTTTTTTTTTATGATAGAGAGAGAGAGAGAGAGAGAGAGAGAGAGAGAGAGAGAGAGAGAGAGAGGCGCAGAGACATAGGCAGAGGGAGAAGCAGGCTCCATCCATGCACCGGGAGCCCGATGTGGGATTCGATCCCGGGTCTCCAGGATTGCGCCCTGGGCCAAAGGCAGGCACCAAACCGCTGCGCCACCCAGGGATCCCGATGCCTTCTGCTTTCAAATCTGGACTTGACCCACCAGATGTGAGGCTATATTCATATTCACGAGATGGAAAACCTGATGCCCAGAACTTACAGTCCATTCAGGGTCATATGTAAAGGTAAATCTTGTAATTAGCTTATGAATATTATTCACTTCTATTGCGTTGTTTTCCCCAGCTAACACCTACAGAGTCTACAAATATATATATATTTTTAATAGATTTTATTTATTTATTCATGAGAGACACACACAGAGAGGGAGACAGAGACACAGGCAGAGGGAGAAGCAGGCTCCATGCAGGGAGCCCGACATGGGACTCGATCCTGGGTCTCCAGGATCACACCCTGGGCTGAAGGCAGTGCTAAACCGCTGAGTCACCCGGGCTGCCCAAAGTCTACAAATATTTAAATCTTGTCATTAATTTTTAAAAAATTGTGGGACCCTCCAAGAATGTTAGCCTGCACCTCTCTTGAACTCTTGAGACCCTAACTGCTAAATGTTACAGGCACTGGATTTGATTCTTGGGACTGCCGTATGAGGTAGGAACTATCAATGTTCTTAGAGAGTAAGAAAGTTTTGGGATGCCTGGGTGGCTCAGCAGTTGAGCATCTGCCTTCTGCTCAGGGCATGTTCCTGGGATCTGGGATCGAGTCCCACATCGGACTCCTTGCCAGGAGCCTGCTTCTACCCCTGCCTGTGTCTCTACCTTTCTCTCTGTGTCTCTCATTCATGAATGAATAAATAAAATCTTAAAAAAAAAAGTAAGAAAATCTTGTGGTTCATGGTCACAAGTGATCAGTGACAGCCAGGATGCAAAACTAGGGATCTGTCCACCCAGTGTCCACCAGCAAATAATACCTTCTATATTGCCTGGGCCTTTAAGTCAGGACCACGACTAGTGAGGATGCTTAAAGGCAGCTTATTCTAGTGACACTAACATCACTTTGAGCTCTTTTGAAACTTGTTGGTTCACTGCACAAACATTTGCCGCCTATAAGCAGGCACTTTATTGGGGCTTGGAAATAAAATGGTAAGCCAAGCCAGAAATGGTCCCTCCCCTCACGGAGCAGAGAGGCCAGCACACAGACAAAAGAAGAAATATAAAATCGCGAATGTGACATGCGCCACACGGAGAGGTACATGAGGACCTGGAGGTGTGTTGTGGTCAAGGAAAGCTTCCCGGAGAAACTTATGTACAGGATGGCCAGGAGATAGACAGCAAGGTGAGGAGGGAACTGCAGGTGCAAAGGTCCTGGAGTACAAAGCAGGGCAGAGAAGTCATTGGGGGACATCAGACCACACGTGGCTTTCTAGTTCTGAATTTGCTCTGAGAGCCTAAGACCTTAGATGGAGAGAACATGAGCAATTCTGCATTTTAAGACCATCAGTCCCTCAAGGCTGCAGTGGAGGGGGCAGAGTGTGTGCTGCAGAGAAGGGAGGGGCACCGCTGACCAGGTAGGGGGTGCCTGGGGCTGGGCGGAGAGGGAGAACTAGTGCCATCGGCTCAGAAAGTACGTGAATTCAGGAGAAAGAATTTAATAGGCAAATCTTTGGGTAGATTCTCAACACTAGTGAGTGAGTCTGGTGTTGGGAACTCACCGAAGGTAATTCAGAACCAAACCTACACAGCAGCATGTGGTGTGCTAGCTTGTTTGCTGGTATGGCCTGGAGAGGTCCCTGGAGCTTGCGAAATGTGCCGAGTGGCAGCAGCATTGTTCAGATGAACGTACGGCTGCCCCAAAATGACTGGTTTGAGCAATATAGATTTCTTCTTCCCTGAACAGAAATAAAATTCAAATACATTCTTGGGTACAGTTCTAGCCACCAATGCACGGTGGTCCTGAAAGGCGTGAGCAGAGCTGGGTGATGTGTGTTTAAAATGAGGCAGAATTTAAATGTGATGAGTCAGCCTTAAGAAATTGACCCAAAAAGTGAAAAGTTCTAGCAGCCTCTCACTAGGTCTACAGTAAGCCAAGAGCTGGCCTAAGTGTTTTTTCAGAGATTTGTAGAGATGGAAGGACCCCTCCCTTAATCATATTGGATGATATTATAATTCAAAATGACTTGGTAATCAATCTGTGGAAATCACAGTTCCTTAAAATATTTATTTAGGGAGCCTGGGTGGCTCAGAGGTTGAGCATCTGCCTTCGGCTCAGGTCGTGATCCCAGGGTCCTGAGATCGACTCCCACATCAGGCTCCCTGTGTGGAGCCTCGTCTCCCTCTGCCTGGGTCTCTGCCTCTCTCTGAATAAATAAATAAAATCTTAAAAAAAAAAAGGTTTTATTTATTTATTCATGAGAGACACAGAGAAGCAGAGACATAGGCAGAGGGAGAAGTAGGCTCCTTGCAGGAACCCTGATGTGGGACTCCATCATGGGACTCCGGGATCACGACCTGAGCCAAAAGCAGACGTTCAACCACTGAGCCACCCAGGTGCCCCCCTTAAAATTTTTTAAATTGAAGGGATACTTATCGACTTGTATTAATCAAATGAAAATGGTAGTCAATATTACTTTTCATAGATCAATTTATTTAGAATTACAAATATTAAGAATAAAGGATTTATGCATTTCTTAATTAACATAACAATTTAGCTAAATATAAACTCTGCACTAAAGTTCTGCAGTGGCACCATACCAACAAAGAATATGGAAGCATTTTTAAACTATACAAAAATTTCAAATGGAAAATAATCTTGTTTTAGTTTTATTATACATTAACATATAAAAAGTCCCATCTTATGAGACATCTAAAAGAATCAAAGCCACTTCTACAGCTATATCTTAAACTCCAAATCTGAAAACAATTTTATTATAGTTTGACTTTATAATATTCTATATTAAAACAAAGAAAATTCCAAATACACACTTTTTACAAGATTAACATTTTAGGCAGGGTTTTTCCTTTAAAAAACCAAAAACAACAAAAAAACCCCACAACCAAATACAAACCTTTTTTTTCTGCATTTCACAGCACTGGTTATTATATTTGTTTTCCTTATAAAATCTTTTGACTTTATAAATTGTGTATGGTTGGATTTTAACCAGTCATCTGGTTCAAAAGTTGTGCAAATAAACAAAATATGAAAATAGTGTGTTATCAGTCTTTTAAATAAATCTCATAACAATAGCACTTTTTGCCCTGAATTGACGGGAAAGTCATGCCAAATCCACTTGCTGAAATTTAGCATTTTGCAAGTCATTTTTTTCCTGCTCCTTCATTTTCTTTCAAAAGACAAACAACAAAGGTTTCTTTTATAAATTATGATAAATTAAAATATTTATTATTATAAAATGATCTCTAGAACCATGTCATACCGCAAGTACCCATCACATATACTTAAGTCCATACTTCCCAGCTATATTCCAGTGGCTTCCTCCAAGGGTGGACGTGCCATCTCTCGAGGGTGACCTCTTTCAAAGACAGAGGGTGATGAGCTGAGGGAGCCTGAGCTGTCATCTGGCCAGAGCTTCCACATCGTGCCACAGACATGCAAGACCGTGTTTCTGGGTGTTCTCCCCTGAAGCTGCTATCTGCGCCTGTCGGCCTGAATTCATGCACGTTCAGAAAAGGGTCAGCACACTCTTCCATGAAAGTGTATTACGTTCAGACATGTTCAGTTTAAAAATACTTGCTAATAAACATGTAACGTAAGCAATGCTACTGCAGCCGAGTAATAAAAGGAAAATAAATAGAATGCTGGTCAGCAACGCTGGTTTAAGAAGCAGTACAGTATGTTAAATGCCTTATCTGTTTCCCAGCACTTGGGTTATTTGGTGTTGGAAGCCTGTGTGAAGGAAGAACAGCGTCTTATGCTGCTGGAGCCATGAAGTCGGCTCAGTCCCTGTTGGTGTCATTGGCTGCAAAGGCATGCAGGTTTCCCATCTGGCTCAGGCCACTCTGAATGTGGGCAACATGGATTTCCACATTATTCTGAAAGCAACTGAAAAAGGTACACGGTTAACTGCTTTATTTCACTATGTTAGGAAAATACTTTTTAAAAAGGAAGAGCTGAGTTTTAGTCCCAAGCCCAGCTAAGATAATGACCCCAAGGAAGGACGAAAGCTCCCATCCCATCAGTTCCCAGTCTGCAACAGTGGCGATGGGAAGAGCTGCTGGAGGGCATCCCTGGGTGGCTCAGCAGTTTGGTGCCTGCCTTCAGCCCAGGGTATGATCCTGGAGTCCCGGGATCGAGTCCCACATCAGGCTTCCTGCATGGAGCCTGCTTCTCCTCTGTCTGTGTCTCTGCCTCTCTCTCTGAGTGTTTCTCATGAATTAAAAAAAAAAAAAAAAAATATATATATATATATATATATATGCTGGAAGGGGCAAAGGAGCCGTGGGAGTGTGGGCTGTGGGCAGGGGAAGGCTCTCTCTCAGACTGGGGAAACACTACTCAGCGGAACCTCCAACCCAAACCCAAATACCACATGTCTTCAAGTTCCTTTACATAAACAAAATCGGTGTGAAATCTCTGTCAATAGATGGGATATAACTGAAGTGAAGAGCTCTCTTGTAATTTCCTTACAGGATATAAATTATATGAATGCTTCACAAATATGCCTAATTCTTAAAACTTGTACTGAAAACCACCATGAACTTCTAGAAATGATTAGGGTCCACCTGACCAATTACCTGATATTAGAAGCATCTATCGTACTCTTGATATCATTTAATGAATCTGTAAGTGATTTGAACTCGAAGGAATTCAGGTCTCCTCCTTCTGCCAGACACTGGAGGAAGAAATAGTTCAAAATTTAGTTAAATTATAGTTCAAATACAGACACACCCAATACAATCTGTGTATTAAAATTGTTTAGCAACAAATTAGTTTGTGTAGGTGTTGAAACTAAGAAAACCTTTTCTCTGAGATGTACCTTAATTTGTAATAAAATAGCGGTAAGCCTGGAGATTAAATCTGTCAGATTTTCGTTCTCAACACAGGGCTGTCCAGTGGAGGAGTTGGCATGCCGGACAATCTCCTGTGCTTCCTCCTCACACCTCCGTCTCATGTCTGTGGGCTGGTCTGCAGGCTGCAGGCCCTGGTCTGGAGCAAGCTGGAAACAGGATTCGACCATCAGATGTACATTCATAAGGCCAGAATGATTTATGTGTGTTTGTACACTGTTTTCTTGGTTGTGGATTGTTATGAAACTAGAACTTATAACGAAAATGGGCCTCACCCCGACCTTAGAAGTGATTTTCTCCAACAGTTTTCTTTTCTTGATTTGTTTTATATTTTTGGCAACCTTTAATTTTGATATAATTTCAAACTTCTAAAAAGGAACAGAACAAAAGTATCTTGAAACCTTTTATCCAGATTCACTGATTATGGTTTATTCTGTGTGGCAGTATTTGCTCTCCCTCCGTGTCATAGATATAATGTCTTCCCCTAGGCTCTTTGAGAATAAGCTCCAAACACTGTGCCTCTTTACCCCTAAATTACTCCAGCTTGCATTTCCTAAGTACAAGGATATTCTCTCACATAACCACAGGGCAACTGTTACAATCGGGAAATTTATCACTAATAGAAGACCATATTCTTCTTTTTAAAAATTTATTTAGGGGATCCCTGGGTGGCTCAGTGGTTTAGCATCTGCCTTCGGCCCAGGGTGTGATCCTGGGGTCCTGGGATCGAGTCCCGTGTTGGGCTCCCTGCATAGAGCCTGCTTCTCCCTCTTTCTGTGTCTCTGCCTCTCTCTCTCTCTCTCTCTGTGTCTCTCATGAATAAATAAATAAAATTTAAAAAAAAAACAACTTATTTGGCAGAGAGAAAGAGAGCATAAGCGGGGAAGGGAAGAGAGAGGGAGAGGGAGAAGCAGACTCCCTGCTGAGCAATGAGCCCTATGCGGCACTTGATCCTAGGACCCCAGGATCATAACCTGAACCAAAGACAGACACTTCACCACCTGAGTCCACCAGGTGCCCGAAGACCATCTCCTAAAAGGGCACATGCATGTTCCATCAACCATCCCAACAGTGTCCTACACATAGCTCTCCCTCCTGAAAACATCTGGTTGCCATGTCTCTGTAGATTGCTATATTCTGGAACAGTTCCTCTTTTGTGACCCTGATATTTTGGAAGAGTACCAGTCAGTTATGTTGTATGCTGTCCCTCAACATGGGTGTGTGTTTCCTCATGATTACATTGAAGTCATACATTTTTGGGGAGGAACACCGTTAAGAGTGATGCTGAGTTCTTGCTCAGGGCATCATAGTCAGGAGGCACCTGATGTCGATCTGCCCCGATATGGGCAGTGCTACCTCTACCACGTGGTTGAGCCAGTCAGGTGCTGGCCAGATCCACCTCCCCAACCTGAACAGGATCCTCCCCTTTGTAATGAGTAAGCACTTGTGAAGAAAGATTTGGAGGCTCCTTGCCATCACACATTTATCTGCTAGGTTACCATGGGTCTTGATGTTACTGGTTATTAGGGTGATGGCTCCCAGACGCCCTTCGTCTCACTCCTATCATTCCTTCTACAGTTACTAGCTGATATTTTACCCTAAGAAGTTTTCCTTAAAAGTTCACTGGTTACTGAGTGAATGTTAGTAAGGACTCATGGATTCTTACTTTATTCAAAAGGCTGTCATCTCCAAGCATACTTACTTATGCTGAAGCCCACAATGCCCCAGATCTAGTCAGTGGGGACCCACTCTGTCTAGCTGGTTCCACTGGACACATTACCTTAACCTGGGGGCACAGCAACATGGCCTGGGGTTCCTCAACCTTCTCTGCTCAGGCTCTGGGATCAGTCTCTTTTTCAAACTCTGCTTCCTTTTATTGGAGAGCAGCATTTGAAAGCCAAGATGGGGTGTTGAGGGTGCTCACTGCCATCAGGGTGTGTACTTCTGGGCTCTCTCGGCATGTGCCTATACACATACAAACACACTTGTATCTGTGTCCCAGAAAGAAAATGAACCTTGGAGTCAGACCAAGTCTCCTATCCTGAGCCAACACCACGGGGTTCGTCGTAGTCTCCCCTTCTTCAGAGCTGCCTCCTCCAGAGGCGAGAGAGCAGACCTCCCTGGTCCACAATATACTTAGTTTCTCATTTGCTCCATCCTGGAATGCAGAGTTTCAGGACTGTGAATCCACATCACCAGGAGCAAAAACCTTACTAACCAGAGGTCAATGTTTATTTAAAGTTCGATTTACCCTCAGACTAAAGGTCTAAAAATACTAAGTTTAGGTCATTTGGATTCATTTTTGTCTCCTTTAGTGTTTATGTCATTCCTCTTACATAGAGTTGGGTTCATTTATTTCTACTTATATTCCATTTTAGAGTTCATCTGTATTTGTTGAGGAAATACACACTCAGAGAAATGTCACTACCCCTCACTCCCCAATAGCTGCCCCACCCCCAAGTTAGTTCTAGAGTTAGTTCTAGTTTATCCTTCCTGTGTTCATTCTCAAAAACCTAAGCAGTTATGTGTTAATTTTATTTTTACATATTTCTCTTTTCTCCAAAGGTAACACTTAAAATATATACTTTTTTACTTAATATATCCTGGAAATCACTCCGTATCAGGAAATAGAGAGAGCTTCCTCGTTCATTCTTAACAGCAGCAAGGCACTCCATGGCGTGAACGTACCCTAAGTTATTCAGCCAATTCTCTATGTATGGGCATTTATGTTTTTCCTAATATTTGGCAATTTCCAGGAATGCTGCAATGAATAACCTTGTCTCTAATACTTCAAAAAAAATTCGAATTGTTTTTAGGGGCTATGAACATTCTAATGCAAATGCGTATCTTTTGGTAAATACAAGTTCACATACATATTTGGTATATATATTAGGAACAGAACTGCTTAATCGTAGTATTCTCTGCTTTTATTTATCTATTTATCTATCTATTTATCTATCTATTTATTTATTTATTTTTAAAGATTTTATTTATTTATTCACGAGAGACACACAGAGAGAGGCAGAGACACAGGCAGAGGGAGAAGCAGGCTCCATGCAGGGAGCCCAATGTGGGACTTGATCCCGGGACTCCAGGATCACACTCTGGGCCGAAGGCAGGCTCCAAACCACTGAGCCACCCAGGGATCCCTGCTTTTATTTTAAAATCAGTATTGTAGGGGCGCCTGGGTGGCTCAGTCAGTTAAGCATCTGACTTTTGGTTTTGGCTCGGATTGTGATCTCAGGGTTGTGGGATCAAGCGCTGTATTAGGCTCCATGCTTAGTAGGTAGTCTCCTTGGGATTCTCTCTCCCTCTTTCCCCCTCCCCACCCCTGCTTATGCATGCACGCTCTTTCTCAAATTAATAAATCTTTAAAAAATAAAATCAATATTGTACCTTCCCCAAGAGATTTGTAAAAATTAAATCATTTTACTTCATTGGAAAATGAGCCTATCACAACAGGCCTTGTGTATATACTGCAATTACACAAAAAGATTGATGAGCAGCCCATTTCTACATGTGTCGTCAGCTTTGTTATGTGCTGTCTTAGATTGCTTGGTTTGTGTCTCTCATGGGTTAGTTGCTAGTCTGAAGGGGGAAATCGATTTGCTAGGATAACACTTATTGCTATGTGGGTGGCAACTACCAGGAAAATAAAAAAAAATAAATTATAATAGATGGGTAGAGGAATGATCAAAATATCCTCAGAGTTTAGTTAGCGGCAACCACAGTTCATTTCCCTCGGTTCAAGGCAGGTGGACTGATAACATGGCTGGTGGCAGATCTCTGGGATTTAACTAGGAAGCTAGAGTCATAAAGAGCTGCTGAAGAGCCTCATTTCATAAATTGAGGTGGCTCACTGGAAACATTAAACCTCTAAAAATGCAAGTGCTGGAGCATTCTAAATTCATCGCAATCATTTAATTCTTATTTTAAGAAAATCAAATTTTAGGTGAAATCACTGAACTGCGTTCCTATATATAATTTCATGTACATGATAATAATTCACAAATAACCCTATGCTCTACATATTTGAAGTTCAAGAATCTATAGTTCTAATGTAAAGTCTAAAGAAGAAGGAAACAAAATCATATACACAGCATGACCATAACTTTGTGAGAAAAAGGGCATATATATTAAAAAAAACTAGGGGAAATAAACCAAAATGCAGTTTTAAGGACAGTGGAATTAAGAGTTTAAGAGTAATCATTTTTCTGGATTTTTCTAAAGTTTTTTTTCAAGAGGTATACCATTTGTAATTGAAACAAAAGTCAACAGAGTCAAGAGCTTGCTGTGTGTAAAGCACTCAGATGCTGATGCTGTAACGAGTAAAAATGTAGTAAAATATGGTTATACTAAAGGACCTTATAATGATGTTGCTTTAGTTTGAGTTTTCTAAAATGTGAAACTATTTAGCTTCAAATAAAAGAGGGGTGGGGGTATCCCTGGGTGGCGCAGCGGTTTGGCGCCTGCCTTTGGCCCAGGGCGCGATCCTGGAGACCCGGGATCGAATCCCACGTCGGGCTCCCGGTGCATGGAGCCTGCTTCTCCCTCTGCCTGTATCTCTGCCTCTCTCTCTCTCTCTCTGTGTGTGACTATCATAAATAAATAAAAATTGAAAAAAATTAAAAATTAAAAAAAAAATAAAAGAGGGGTGGGCACAGGCCCTCAGGGGAAATTCATACCATCCTGTTGGACTTTATGCAAAGCTCACCTACCTCATAGCAGTATTGTTGAACTTTGTGCAAAACTTTGTTGAGGTCTTTGTTGAGTTGCTCCAGCTCCAGAACAATCGTTGCATATCTCCGCTGAAATTCAATGCCAATGGGCATGGAATAGGATTTCTATAAGAAAAAAAATAAGTCAGATTTTGAGAAGGATTTTTTTTTTTTGAGAGAGAATGAGAGAGAGAGTAAGAGAGAGCATACAGAAGGGGAAGTGGTAGAGGGAGAGGGAGAATCCTAAACAGATGTCAGCAAGGAGCCCAGCTCGGGGCTTGATCTCACGACCCTGAGAGCATGACCTGTGCTGAAATCAAGAGTTTGATGCTTAAGTGCTGAGCTGCCCAGGTGCCCCTCATAAGGATTTTTTTTTTCAGCAGGGCACTTTCAATGATCTAACAGATCTGATATGTCCAAAACAAACAGAAGTTTATTAAAATTATCTGTACTCAAATAAAATAAAATTATCTGTACTCAATGTTCTACTTCTTGTGTGTGACAACAGTATTACTGTCATTTAGGAGACATCCTTAGGAGCACCACAATGTCTGCCACTTACTTTTTCCTAAAGGAGATCACTAGAGAAAGAGGTTACATGCAGAAGTGTTGAATCTGCATACTTTTTCCTTACAGGAGTCTTCCAACTTTCTCATAAGCTTGCCATTTTTCAAAACAGAACGTAAAAGCCTGAATATACTCATCTGAAGTAGTCTAGTTATTGAAACTGCATTACTGGGGATCCCTGGGTGGCGCAGCGGTTTGGCGCCTGCCTTTGGCCCGGGGCCCGATCCTGGAGACCCGGGATCGAATCCCACGTCGGGCTCCCGGTGCATGGAGCCTGCTTCTCCCTCTGCCTGTGTCTCTGCCTCTCTCTCTCTCTCTGTGTGACTATCATAAATAAATAAAAAATAAAAAAAAATAAAAAAAAAGCTATCCCTTCCATTTATAAATAAATAAATAAATAAATAAATAAATAAATAAATGAATAAATAAATAAATAAATAAAAATGAAACTGCATTACTCCCTGCCTGGAATCGACTGCGTGTAGCATAATGGTTAAGCACATGGGTGCAAGAATCACAAATGGAGGTTCAACTCCTAACTCTGCCACCTTCTAGCTGTGTGGCCATAAGCAAGCTCCCTAACTTCCCTTTTTTAAAAAAATTTCTATTTATTTATTTATTTATTTATTTATATATTTATTTATTTTTAAATTTTTATTTATTATTTATGATAGTCACACACACACAGAGAGAGAGGCAGAGACACAGGCAGAGGGAGAAGCAGGCTCCATGCACCGGGAGCCCGACGTGGGACTCGATCCAGGGTCTCCAGGATCGCGCCCCGGGCCAAAGGCAGGCGCCAAACTGCTGCGCCACCCAGGGATCCCAAGCTCCCTAACTTCCTTGCTCAATTTCCTCATCTGTAAAAAGGGGGTAATGAGAATACCAACCTAAGAGGACAGCACCTGCCCACACAGAGAATGCTCAGTGTTAACTGTTATCACCATGGCCATCACTCTGATGTGCTTGCCATCAGTAAGTGCGGGCCTTGGTGGACTTTGGTCCCATCACCCCTCCTTGCTCCACAGTGGCTCCAATAAATACACCACCCATCCCACCCCAGCGCAGATGCTGCAACAAGACGCTCCAGTCAGGCCACATGCAGTCACCTCTTCTCCTCCAGAGGGTTTCCCAGAAGCAGCCCCTCCTGTCCCTGGGAGGCACAACCGCTCCATCTGGGCAGCACAGTGAAGGACAGGGAGCGGCCCGGAAGCCACTTACAGGTGGTGCGCATCACACAATTATAATGGTGTGAGCTGACACAAGCCTCAGCGATCATCCACTCAACCCTGTCATTTGACGTAAGAGAAAACGGAGGTGGAAGGAAGCTGATGAGTTGTTTACCAACACACACCGTCAATAATGTGTTGATGATGAAGATGGAGATGGCTAACACGCATAGAGGGACTGGAGATTGATGTGTCAGACACTGTTCTAGGTGTTTAACGGGATCTCACTGACTTCACAACAAACCCATAGGAAGGGGGCTGTACTTATCCCCGTTTTATATATGAAGGAATCTGAGGCCCGTGCATCCCAGTGAGTGGTAAGCATGCAGGATCCCAAGGCAGACTGTGTGGGTCAGAATCCTGCTGGAAGAGCAGGGTAGGGGCACACTCCAGGGCTGACCCTGGAATCACATAAAGGCGTCTGACTCAGTTTACCACTGGTGCCTCCTAAACGGTTTCCCCTTCCTGAGCTTCAGATTTGTGCAGTTAAGCCCACAGTACTATTTGAACAGCCAGTATTTTAAAAATATTTTTATATTTTTATCTATCTATCTATCTATCTATCTATCTATCTATCTATCTATCATCTATCTAATCTATCTATCAACAGAGAGAGGCAGAGACATAGGCAGAGGGAGAAGCAGGCTCCATGGAGGAAGCCTGATGTGGGACTCCATCCTGGAGCCCTGGGATCACGCCCTGAGCCAAAGGCAGATGCTCAACCGTTGAGCCACCCAGGCATCCCAATGAACAGCCAGTCTTTAATAAAAATGCAAGGATAAAGAGGACACAGTATATTTAACTTCATCTCTTTGGGTTGGCTTGGGGATTTACCCATGACATAGTTTCACCAAACACTTGACCTAGTCCCTTTTTTTTTTAATTTTTTAAAGAAGTTTCTTTTTCTTTTTTAGATTTTATTTATCCATGAGAGATACAGACAGAAGGCAGAGACATAGGCAGAGAGAGAAGCAGGCTCCTCGCAGGGAGCCCGATGTAGGACTTGATCCTGGAACCCTGGGATCATGCCCTGAGCCAAAGGCAGATGCTCAACTGCTGAGCCACCCAGGCATCCCGACCTATTTCCTTCTTTTTTTTTTTTTCCCTTCTTAAAGATAAGTATATATTTTGGCAAATTCAGAACTAGTTAATCAAAATCAAAATTATTAAAGGCTCTGTATCTTTTCCCCCCCTAAGATTTATTTATTTCAGAGAGAGAAAGAGAAAGAACAAGTGTGGGGGGTAGGAGCAGAGGGAGAGGGGAGTCTCAAACAGACTCTGGAGCATGGAGTCTGACAGGAGGCTTGATTCCATGACCCTGCGATCACAACCTGAACTGAAACCAAGAGTCAGACGCTTAACCAACTGTACCCCCCCAGGTGCCCTAAGGCTCTAAGGCTCCGTATGTTTTTGTACAGAATTCACTACAAGGTGTTAAAGGCCTCGATCCTTAATTTCTGTCTTCAACATATATATGAGGTACTTAAATAAAGACATATGAGGACTATATATATATATATCAAAATGTACACAGGGGCGCCTGGCTGGCTCAGCCCATAAAGCATGTGACTCTTGATCTCAAGGTCATGAGTTCAAGCTACATGTTGGGCCAGTAGCCTAATTTTTTTAAAAAAATTATTTAAATTCAATAAATTAACATATAACATATTATTGGTTTCAGAGGTAGAATTCAGTGATTCATCAGTCTTATAGAACACCCAGTGTTCATTACATCACGTGCCCTCCTTAACGTCCATCCCCCAGTGACCCTGTCCTATCACCACTCCCCCTTCCAGCGACCCTCAGTTTGTTTCCTATGATTAAAAGTCTCTTATGATTTGTCTCCCTGATTTCATCTTATTTTTTCCTCTCTTCCCCAAAGATCCATTTTGTTTCTTTAACTCCACATTATCAGTGAGATCATAAGATAATTGCCTTTCTCTGACTTGCTTTACTTAGTATAATATCCCCTAGTTCCATCCATGTCATTGCAAATGGCAAGATTTTTTTTTTTTGATGGCTTAGTATTCCATTGTGTGTGTGTGTGTGTGTGTATCACATCTTTATCCATTCATTCATTGATGGACATTGAGCTCTTTCCATAGTTTGGCTATGGTGGACATTGCTGCTATAAATATTGGGATGCACATGTCCCTTCAAATCTCTGCATCTGTATCTTTGAGGTAAATACCCAGTAGTACAATTGCTGAGTCATAGGGTAGTTCTATTTTCAACTTTTTGAGGAAGCTCCGCAATGTTTTCCAGAGTGGCTGCACCAGCTTGCATTCCTACCAACAGCAGAAGAGTGTCCCCACTTCTCTGCATTCTTGCCAACACCTGTTGTTTTCTGACTTGTTCATTGTAGCCATTCTGACTGGTGTGAGGTGGTATCTCATTGTGGTTTTGATTTGTACTTCCCTGATGCAAGTGATGTTGAGCATTTTTTCATGTGTCTGTTGGCCATTTTCTGTCCTCTTTGAAGAACTGTCTGTTCATGTCTTCTGCCCATTTCTTGACTGGATAATTTGTTCTTTGGGTGTTAAATTTGATAAGTTCTGTATAGATTTTGGATGCTAGTCCTCTGCCCCTCACCTTGCTTGTGCTCTCTCTCTCACTCTCAAATAAATAAAACCTAAAAAAACCCAAACAAACCCCAAAACCAATGGTTCTTAAAAAGTTAAACACCTTCATGTACCATATGATCTAAGAGAAATGAAATCATCTGTCCATGTAAAGACTTGCACACAAATGTCCAATTTTCTTTGTAATAGCTAAAAAATGTAAACAATCCAAACGTCCCTCAACAGGTAAATGGATTTTGTGGTACGTCCATATGATGTGGTACTACTGCTCAGCAATAAAAAAGAATTATGGTATGTTGTGTGGGACACACAAGTAAGTGGATGAATCCAAATCATTATACCAAATGAAAGATGACAGGCAAAAGGGACACCTGGGTAGCTCAGTGGTTGAGCGTTTGCCTTTGGCTCAGGGCGTGATCCCAGAATCCTGGGATCGAGTCCCACATCAGGCTCCATGCAAGGAACCTGCTTCTCCCTCTGCCTCTCTCTCTCTCTGTCTCTCATAAACAAAGAAATAAATACAATCCTTAAAAAAAAAAAAAAAGAAAGATGACAGGCAAAAAAGCATATATACAGTATGATTCCATTTATGTGCAATTCTACAAAATGTAAACTAATCTGTGATGACAGCAGGCACATCAGTGGTTGCTGGGAGCCTGGAATAGATGGAGGAATAGATTATAAAGGGCTTGGGGAAATCTGGTGAGGAGGGGAGAAAGCAGAAATACTTGTAATCTAGTCTGTGGTG